TTAGACATGAGCTAATGTGCACAAAGCATTTAGCAGGGTGCCTTCCACCAAGTAAGTGCTCAATGAGTGATAGGCATTACTTCTATTAAGTATGATTTGCAAATATTTCCAAGGGGCTGAGCCATTTTCACAACAGCTTCTCCATGAACCCACCACCCCACTATCCCACAGGACACAGACCAACAAGGTGGTGTGTTTGAGGTAACACCTTCCCCCACCAACTCAAGATCCCTTCCCCAGCAAGTCTCCATGCCCTCTCTGGTGTTTTAGAAAAAACACAGGGCTTGGAGGGTTTCAAACCTTCCACCCTCTCCAGTGACCTTGGGCAAATCTCTCCCCTCTCTGGGCCTCTGGGCACAGTGCGATGTCTAGCTCACAGGGAGGCTGGTGTCAGTTGGAAGCACCAGCAGTAACAGTCGCAGTATTTGTTACAGGTCACCGTCCGTCACTCCAGAGGTCAGGCAGTTAAATGAGACAGCGTTTGCAGAGGGCCCAGCGCCTTAATTCTCATAAATTTCCTTTTTTACCACTCCTTTGAGTACCGATTTAAAAAAAAAAAAAAAAAAAAAAAAGATTCTGGACCTTCAGTCTAAAATATCAAGGCTCTTGGGCAGGGAAAAGCAAAGTGATTCCCAGGTGACATGTACACATCTCCAAAGTATTTCTGGGCCCTCCTCATATCCCTACATGACAGGGTGGCTCTGGTCCCCATCCCTCAAATGGAGGATTTGAGCCTAGAGAAGTTGTGCAAGTTACCCAAGGTCACACAGCTGGGGTCTGAATTCACGGGTGGGCCAGCATGAGCGATTTCATCTGAGATTCTCTTTTCCCTGAATCCCAGCTCGTCCCTATCTCTGTGGGAACCCAAGCAAGAGTGTTGTCCCATCCTGTCAGTTGCAGGATAGGCACCTCAGCCTTCTATAGTCACCCTTATGGCAGAGGAAGGTACCTGTCGGGGTTCCATACATTAGGTTAAAGTATGGCTCAGTGTCCTAGAGGAGCCTCCAGGGTTGAGACTCAGAGAGGTGAGGTGGTTTGCCCAAGGTCACACAGCAGCCTAAGACATGCAAGTGTTTCTCCTACCCTCTGGCAGATTAGAAGGATATCACCAGGAAACGTAGGAATACCACCAATGACAATAACAGTAACAGCTCAAGAGGGCAGCTATTATGTCAGGCACTGTACTAAGCACTTTACATCATTCATTTATTCAACCTTATTATGAAATCCCTTATACAAGTGTGGCAAAAAGAGGTTAAGTAACTCCTCAAGTTTGCACAGGGAGAGGTCTGTGAATCTGAGGAGAACAGGGTGGAGTTGGAGAAGCGGGGAGTGGAGGGACCAAAGAGCATCATGGAGGGACTGATTCAGCCATGATGCAGAAAGGGTCTTTAGACCATTCCAGTCAATCTTTCTCATGTATAGATTCAGCCCAGAAAGGTTAAGCAACCTGGCCACAGTCACAAAGCAAGTTAGAACCACTTCCTCCTAACATGACCACACAAACTCTCATAGAATGCTCTCAACACGTGCCAGACTCCACCGACTGGGTGTCTGATCTGCGCTCACAATTCCTACCCTGAAGACAATTCTGCCTCCCTCCCCAGGCAAATGAGCAACCTTTGTTTAAAGCGCCCCTATTTCTGTATAAAGAGCCCCTTGCAACAGGAGTAAGGTCAACAGTCCTGACGGCAGCCAGCAGAGGGCGCCATGAGTAGAGACCCTCATTGAGAACGCTCTGGTTCACTGATTGAGCTCCTACTATGCACCAGAAATTTTCCCATCAGAACATGAATTCGAAATTATACATCCTGGGTGAGGAAACAGAGGCCCAGAGAGGAGCAGCAAGATGCGTTAGGGCAGACGCCAAGAAAGCTGCAGCACAGAAACACATCTGGGGATACTGTTATTGTTATTCATAATAACAGCCAACATGTGCGGTGGATTTAAAACGTGCCAGCCACTAGGCTGGAATCCTGGCTCCACCTTCTTACCTGCACAATCCTAAGCTTGTTGCTTCACTTCCTGGTGCCTTGGTTTCCTCTTCTGTAAAATGGTGGCACCTTGAGAGTCATGAGGGTAGAATGCATTCACGTGTGGAAGGCCCTTGGAACAGTGCCTGACGCAAGAGCGCTCTGGGAGTGTTGGTTATTATTTGTTTATATATTGTTTGTTTACTGGCAAACTCCTTACTGAAATGGTAGAGGCACAGAGAGGCCAAATCATTTGTCCAAGGTCACACTGCTGGGAATGGTAGAGCCAAAACAATCCAGGCTGTCTGGCACCAAAGCTGTGCTCTTATCCAATATGTCATCCTTCTTCAATAATAGAACATACAAGACACTGGTCACATGAACAGGTGCCCCTCCAAATAAATCCCATTTTAAAAAAGGACCCGAGGCACGACCTGCTCAAAGGCACGCAGCTGGCCTCTGTGTTGGGGAACCAAATCACCCTTCCCCTTCCCTGGCCCCAGCCACATGAGGTGCAGACCTGTCCTGAGACCAGGTGGACAGGACTGTCTACAGTAGATCCTGCTGGGCTGAGGAGTGAGGCTGGACTTGCAAATCATCATCACTCATTCCACAAATACTGATTAAGTGCCCACTAGCTAGGGTCCTGGGGATAGGAGGTGAACAACTCAGCCACAGCCCCTTCCTCGAGGACCTCCCAGTATGTGGGAAACCAGGGGGGCAGTGCAGTGGATTCCAATCCCTGCTCCATCCCTGGAGCAAGTGCCATTGCCACGCTGTCCCTGTTTCCTAATCTGTGATAAGAGTAGTTGTGTGATGATTCAGTGAGATGATGGAAGCAAAGCACTTAGCACGGTACCTGGCACACACCTGCTCAATGAATATTAGCTATTATTATCATCACCAGGAATTACAACGTGAGGAAATACAGAAGAAGAAGGAGGGGGGTCTGGGAGTGCCTGACAGGTATTTAACTCAGTCTGAAATCATACTTCCTGAACGTTGGGACTTGAGTATGGGGCCTGGTTCCTGGACTGGGAAGCAGGGGAACTGCCAGACCAGAGGCAGATTGAACAGGAGACGTAGGACGAGGCATCTCCTCTCCCCAGATGAAAAAATTGCCACTATCACTGTCCCTCTTTGCATCTGACCACAGAGCCCCTCCCTACTGAGTCATCCACTTCCACAATCCCCAATCACTTCTGTCTGCAGAGGGCCCTGTGCTAGCTGCTGAAGGGACAGAGGTGAAGATAAGGGCACACCTTTGCCTTCAGGGCTGCACAGACCTCACCCTGTGGCCATTCCAAATGCCAGATGGGAGGCAAAGGCCTGAAGGTGGAATCAGCCAGGCCGTTTAGGGAAGGGAAGCTGACCAGAGTACTCAGCTAAAAGTCTGAACATCTTGGAATCCTGTTTCCACCTCACAAAACCCTCTTCCAACTGCTCACTTCAGCAAAGGAGGCTACAGGGAGGAGGGAAGGAGGAGAGGTTACAGGTCTCGGGTCACCAGGAGAAGGTCAATTCCCACTCCCCAGCTGTGAAACCTCCAAAAGGAACCTAACCTTCACTGTTCTGTAGAATCACAGAACAATGGAATCACTTGCCCATCAAGTGCTATGATGAAAAGTTTGGCTGCCAGAAACTCTCCTGGGAGCCCCGCCTCCCGGGTCCCCAGGGAAGGTGCTAGGACCAGCCTAGGTCGTGGGAGGCAGAGGCAAATCAGAATGGCCCCAGCCCATGAGAATACCCTATGGAATCCCCTGGGAGACCCCAGCCTGCCCACCCACCAATCACTCAAACCTTTGGCAGACAAGATTCCTGGTCCAACTCCAGCTAAGTGGAAGGAGGAGGGGGAGGGGAATTCTCACCGGGGACTCCCCACGACTTCTAGACGAGCATAAAGCAAAGCAAGCTTGGGAGCAGGTACGAGGAAGTCCCCTTTCTGTAGCACCTATTACATGCCACACACTTGACCCTTCTTAAATGCTCCAGCAACCCTGGCAGGTGAGTCTAACTGGATTGTGATTCCTTCGTGCAACATCTATTCGTCACACACCTACTTTGAGCCAGGCATGTGCTGGGCACACAATCCAACCCTGGGGAGCTCGCAGTGTGGTGGGGGAGGAGACAATCTCCAACCAAGTAGAAAGCATCATTATAATAGCTAACATTTATACAGCAATTACTGTGTGCTCCCCCTCTGTTAATTTTCTTACACATAAAAAAAAAATGGGGATTACAATCGTGCCGACTTCCTTGGGTCTGTGACAATTAAATGAGTTAACATGTGTAAAGCACTGAGGCAGAGTCTGGCAAACAGTAAGAGCTTAATACACGTTTAATATCGTCACTTTACTCAGTCCTTCCAACGACCCTGGAAGGAGGTGTCCAATCACAAGTTCCATTTGCAGATGAGAAAACTGAGATCCAGAGAAGTTACAGGACTGCAGAGGCAGAATGTTGTTGGAATAGAGAGAGCATGGGCTTCAGGGTCACAAGGGCAAGATTTGAATCTGGGCCCCACTTACTGACTGTAAGGTTGGACTGCTGCATCTCTGTGCCTCGGTTTCTCCACCTGCAGAGTGGGTATTATAATAAGACCATCATTCCATGGTTGTGAGCACTTGACAGTGAAGGCACGGTTTCTAGAACCGCGCCAGCCCCATGCTCTGTGGGATGGGGTGGCGGCTATTCGCATTGCAGTCCATGGAGGGAGGATTGGAACCCAGGCTGCCTGACACAAACCCTCCCCAGCCTGCCCACCCACCAATCACTCAAACCTTTGGCAGACAGGATTCCTGGTCCAACTCCAGCTAAGCGGGAGGAGGAGAGGGAGGTGAATCCTCATTGGGGACTCCCCACGACACGGACACGGACACGAAGAGCTGAGGTGCGGGTCGGGGACCACCACTGTCGGAGCTGCCACAGGGGCATCGAGCAGGGGGCAAAAGGGGTGATCTGCTCAAAGCGGGAAGCCTTCTTCGGCGCCTTCTCTCACCGCCTTCTCCACTTCCCGCCCCCCTCCAGGGTACGCTCCGCACTGCCTGCCCCCGAGCAGCTACGATGCGGACCAGAAGCCGGGCCTGGAGCTGGCCCCGGCCGAGCCCGCGTACCCGCCGGCGGCGCCGGAGGAGTACAGCGACCCCGAGAGCCCTCAGTCGAGCCTGTCGGCGCGCTACTTCCGAGGGGAGGCGGCCGTGACCGACAGCTACTCCATGGATGCCTTCTTCATCTCGGACGGGCGCTCGCGGCGGCGGCGGGGCGGGGGCGGCGGGGACGCGGGGGGCGCGGGGGACACGGGGAGCACCGGGGGACGCGCGGGGCGCGCAGGGGCGTCGGCGGGCGGCGGGCACCGGCACGCGTGCGCCGAGTGCGGCAAGACCTACGCCACGTCGTCGAACCTGAGCCGCCACAAGCAGACGCACCGCAGCCTGGACAGCCAGCTGGCGCGCAAGTGCCCGACGTGCGGCAAGGCCTACGTGTCCATGCCCGCGCTGGCCATGCACGTGCTCACGCACAACCTGCGCCACAAGTGCGGCGTGTGCGGCAAGGCCTTCTCGCGGCCCTGGCTGCTGCAGGGCCACATGCGCTCGCACACCGGCGAGAAGCCGTTCGGCTGCGCGCACTGCGGCAAGGCCTTCGCCGACCGCTCCAACCTGCGCGCGCACATGCAGACGCACTCGGCCTTCAAGCACTACCGCTGCCGCCAGTGCGACAAGAGCTTCGCGCTCAAGTCCTACCTCCACAAGCACTGCGAGGCAGCCTGCGTCAAGGGGGCCGAGCCGCCGCCGCCGGCCTCTGCCGGCCCGGCCAGCTGAGCCTTCAGCCGCGCCCGCGCCCGGAACTCGCTCTCCACGGGCCCCGGGACCCCGACCTGCGCCTGCAGCGCCCTCGCCCATCCCTGGCTACGTTTCTCTGCCCATGCCCCTCTTGGGGGGACCCCCGGCCCGGAACTTTTCTCTCTAGCCCCCAAACCCACGACTCACTTCCAGCACCGTCTTCCCCAGACCCCCTGACCCACTTCCTTTCCGGCCACCCCTCGGACCTTTACCCCCTGTCCGCGCCTTCAAGGCTCCCAACTCAGGCACCAGGTCCGCACCTCTCCCACGCCCCAGAGCCGGAAATTTCTCCCGCCCAGACCCCGCGCTGCTCTTCTAACTTCTAGATCTTTCTTCTCAGCTGAATCTCTCTGACCATTCCTCTATTGGAGCCCCCCGTGAAAGCCGCAAACCTATATCCTTGACGCCCATACCTGCCTCAGTTTCCCCATCCATACCTGGACTCAGGCCCTGCCGCCCTGAGACCACAGTCCAACCTGGAGCTCTGCTGAGTCTCCCAGAGTGTGTCCATCTGGGAATCTAATCTTCACCCCTCTTGAAGTCTGTCCCTGACCCGTCCATGCCCAGGCCTTAAGTCCGGCCTTTCACACACACACACCACCACCACTACTCCCACAGACATTTCCCACTCTCCTCAGTCCATGGGGGTCTCATCATCCACTCCCAGCCCCAGATCCCCTCACCCCTCTAGCAGTTCTCACCCCTCTGAGTTTACCTAACGTGGAGGGGACTTGAGGGGCACTTCAGGGTCCTGCCCCCTAGTGTAACCCCTCTCTCACTACTGCACAACCTGGGCTTCCAGTCTGGAGCTGCCCTTCCCCCAGATTCTCTGAGCACTTTCCCCCATCCCCAGGGCCACAGGACCCCTTCCTCACTTGTTGTGGGGAGGTCCGGAGCACCTCACCAATGCCCTTCCCTCTGTCCAGCTGGGTCCTTCCAGTTATTTATTTGTGTATTTATTTATTTATCTATTTATTATTCTATTTAATCTCTTGGCCTCACCCAGGGACAGTCTGGCTTCCCCAGCTGGACTGGGAGGTCAGGAAGCCAGACAAGGAGAGGGACAGCACAGGCCACAGGGCTGCCCCCACCACACACACCCCCGCGTCTCGGGAGAAACCCACCCTCATCAGAGCCTGCACTCGCTAAGGAAGGCACTCGAGAATGGGGGGTGCAGCCTGCTGACCCTCAGCCGGGGGGGGGGGGGGAGCATCAGGAGGTCCAGGCGTGGGGCAGGTCCCCGCCTTCCTGAACCTTCCCCTGCCACTCCAGGCGGCCGGAGAGAGGAGCCTCCCCGATTTGTTTCCTATTTATTCCTCTTCTCGAGGGACCCCACGTTCCAGGGACCGACTGAGCCCCGGACCCGCTGGGGCCTCTGGCCAGCTCCCCGGGAGGGTCGCTCTCTCCCGGCCAAGTCTATGCAACTCTCCCGGACAGAGGGGCCGGGCTGCCAGCCACCCGCCCGTTGGCCGCCACTACCTCCTCCGCTGTGCTTTTGCATGCCCGGGCGGGCGAGGACCGAAGCACACACTTCCATGCGCACGGGCCCTGGCCCCCTCTGCTTTAAGCACACGCCTCTGCCCCATCGCTCCGCGCCCAGCTTGGGGGCAGGAGTCCTGGACTCTCGGATCCTCCTCTCCCCTCCTCTTAGCCACAAAAGAGGGGGGAGACCGGAGGCACCCCTGCAGCAGGGGCACGTCCCTAAGGCTTCAGAGGGGTGAATGGACCTTTGCTCAGCCCTAGGCCCAGCGTGAAGAGAGGCTGCAGGGATGGTGGGAGGGAGAGGGGTCGCAGAAGCAATTATGGAGGGTGTTGACCCTGTAAATAGGAACTCTGACAGCAATAATTTTCCATGCATGCTAAGACTTTTGGCCATATTTTGTATGAGCGCTTGGCGCTCCTCCTCCCTCCTCCCAACTCACCCCCAAACCCCATTCCTTCCCCACCTCCAGCAGTATTAATTGTAACGCAATTCAGGGATATTAAAGGGACTTTGGCCACTCACTATTGCCTCTAGACCTTATGTTTGGAGGGGCGTGGGGAGGAGGAAGGGAGGAATGAGAAGGGGAGGGCATCTGAGAGACAGTATTTTTCCACTCCATTTTCTTTTCTCTAGCCTGACCAGCCTTAGCTGCCACCAAGGGTCACACAGCCCCAAGGGTCCCTTGGCATTCACAAGGTCTCAGGCATCTTCAATCCTTAATATTCCTCAAATAAGGGTTTAAGAACCAGATTAATAACATGTGAGGGAAGCCAGTTGCCTTAAGACATCAGGGAAGATGAAGCCTGCGACTAATTGGAAAGAGTGTGTCTCACCTTAGAGAACTACACTTCAAATTAACTACACCTGCCGAACGATTACAACTGTGGGACACATGTGTCTGTTGACAGCCAGTTTACAACCCCTATGTCCTTCCCCAGTTCACCATCCACTGCTCTGCCCAGTCGTATACGGTCACATATGCAGTGAGTGGAAGCAGGCAAAAAGGTTGACTTTGGCTCAACCGGCAAAGTTGTCCAAAAACAGTGAGTTGACCGGGCGCGGTGGCTCAAGCCTGTAATCCCAGCACTTTGGGAGGCCGAGGCGGGTGGATCACGAAGTCAAGAGATTGAGACCATCCTGGTCAACATGGTGAAACCCCGACTCTACTACAAATACAAAAAAATTAGCTGAGCATGGTGGCGCGTGCCTGTAATCCCAGCTACTCGGGAGGCTGAGGCGGGAGAATTGCCTGAACCCAGGAGGCGGAGGTTGCAGTGAGTCGAGATCATGCCATTGTGCTCCAGCCTGGGTAACAAGAGCGAAACTCTGTCTCAAAAAAAAAAAAAAAAAAAAAAAAAAACAGTGAGTTGCCCCTAGAGCTTCTGAGCTGTTACCAAAAGTGTTGAGGGCAACGAATCCAACATCCTCGCTAGCTGCCTTAGTGATCCTTCAAAACACAAATCTGCCTCACCTTACTAAAAACTTCACTGGGGACCACCAACCCCCTGCCACCTACCCTCAACTCAGACTCACCAAGAAGCATGGCCTGCGTGCTTTGAGGGATGGATGCCAGCGGGTGGGGTGGGGAAGCTGCAGGCTGGAACCTGCCTCTTCTGGGGCCTCCTTGTCGGTTTCCTCCTGTGTAAACAGTGTACTCAGTTTGTACACTGTCTGCCTTCCCTTCACGCACCTCTGGACAAGCAGCTGCATCCTGAGCAATGTGCTAGCCGTTTTCAACAATGACAGCAGTTGTAGGAACCTCCCCCCTCAAAATCTCCAGTGGTTTCTTGGTTTTTTGTTTTGTTTTTTGAGACAGAGTCTCACTCGGTCACCCAGGCTGGAGTGCAGTGATGCAATCTCAGCTCTGTAACCTCTGCCTTCTGGGTTTAAGCAATTCTCCTGCCTCAGCCTCCTAAGTAGCTGGGATCACAGAAACCAGCCCAAGTCTAAAGCCATGATTTGCTTCTCCTCTGGGGCATCCCACTTCTGTGAATGACACCAGCACCCATCCAGTCCTGCAGTCACAAAACCCAGAGGTCATGTCTCTTGCCTCTCTCCCCATCCTACCACCCAGTCCACCAGGTCCTGTCAGTTTTTCCTCTCCATCTTCTCAGTCTCCACCTTGGTCCAGAGCCACCATCATCTCTTATCTGGACAACTATACCAGCCTTCTCCCTGGTCTCCTTGGATCTGTTCTGGTTCCCTGTCCTCCCTCCCTCTATCCACAGCAGCCACAGGGATCTTTCAAAAGTGCAGATCAGATCATGTCTGTCTTACTTACAGGCTGCTATAACAAACTACCAGCCAGGCATGGCAGCTCACGCCTGTAATCCCAGCTCGAGACCAGCCTGGCCAATATGGTGAAACCCTGTCTCTATTAAAAATACAAAAATTAGGCATGGTGGCATGTGCCTGTAGTCCCAGCTACTCAGGAGGCTGAGGCAGAAGAATCACTTGAACCCAGGAGGCGGAGGTTGCAGTGAGCCAAGATCATGCCACTACACTCCAACCTGGGTGATAGCAAGACTCTGTCTAAAAAAGAAAAAATCTACCATAGATTAGGTGGTTTGTAAACAACAGAAATGTATTTCACACAGTTCTGGAGACTGAGAAGTCCTAGATCCACGGGCCAGCAGATTCAACATCTGGTAAGGACCTGCTTCCTGGTTCCACCATCTTTTCATTGTGTCCTCCCATGGTAAGAAGGGGTGAGGGAGCTCTCCAGGATCCCTTTGATAAAGTCACTGATTGCATTCATGAGGGTTCCGCCTTCATGACCTAGTCACCTCCCAAAAGCCCATCTCCTAATACCATCATACTGGGGGTTAGGATTTTAACATGAGTTTTGGAGGAACACAGTCTATAGCATTCTGCTTCCTTCCCCAACTCTGCCCCCTGCCAAATTCACATCCTTGTCATATTCACAATACATTCGTTCCTTACATCCCAACAGCCCCAAAAGTCTTAACTCATTCCAGCGTCAATTCTGAAGTCTAAAATCCAAAGTTTTATTAGCTAAGTATCATCTAAGTCAGATGTGGCTGAGACTCAAGGTGTGATGCATCCTGGGGCAAACTGCTCTCCAGTTGTGAGTCTGTAAAATCAAGCAAGTTATTTGCTTCCAAAATACAATGGTAAGACAGGCATAAGATAGACCATTCCAAGAGGGAGAAGTAGGAAGGAGGAAAGGAACAGCAGATCCAAATTACATCTAAACTGGAAGGAAAACTACATGAGATCTTAAGTCTCAAGAAAAATCATTTTTGGTCAATGCTCTGCCTCCAGGTCCACTGAGGCAGCCTTCCAGACCCACGATGGTGGTGGTCCCACTCTCTGTACCCTCTGGGATGGTAGTCCTGCCCCTACAGCTGTATCCAGCAGAGGTCATGTTCCCAGGGCTCTGGATAGCCCCATCCCAGCGGCTCTGGTCAGCTCCTCCTTCATGGCTTTGGACAGAGGCCCTCTGACCTGTTGAATGCAAGGCAATGTCCCCCACTTTTGAAAGCAAGGAGATAGCTTTTGGTGATCTCTGAATTGCCTTCAGGCTCATTATTCTCTTGTCTTAAAGAATAGTTTGCATTCTGGTCTTGTCCTGAAAAACCCAAGAAGTCTAACAGTCTTCCATCATCCCTTCCCATCTC